AACTGTGTATCTCTTTCTTGTAGCAGAAACATTGCAACATTGGTGTATTGGCTACTAAAGCTTTCCAATTGTCTGTCAGCTCCAATCGAGCTTTCAAATCCGTTCTGTGATTCTATGTCCAGGACTCTGCTGCTCTATTTCTCCTTTGTCAACCAGGAGATGCTGCTGGAGGGTGAAAGGTGGCTAGAGAGATCCCAAAAGATGCCTGCTTGTTCCTTTTGCTTACTGTTTTCGTGTCATCTGAGCAATGACCCTTCACCTGGTAACTGTTATAGCATCTGTCTCTGTTACTAGAATTAACTGGCACGCTTGCCAGCGTTACTTGGACAGTCTGCCCTGCTCAACCAGAATGCCAGCTCTGCAAGCTCTGTCGCTCAGCTTTGAACTGCTGGAACATTAACCTGTTATCTTTGTCCTTCCAGCCTTAGAGATGATGGCTTTCTGCTGCTACGATCGCAGAAGTTTAACCCATTCCTTGTATTAAATTCTCTCTATCAGAATACCTGGTATGATTTCTGTTTTTCTATTTGGACCTTGACTGACAAATGTTTTTTATATTATTAATATTAGCCAAAAAATTCCTTACACACTCTCTCTCTTTAATTCTTATCATACATCTCTCTGATTAGAATTTGGTTCCCGTGTAGATTTTCTACAGGGAGAGTTTGTTATCCAGCAAACATGTACAGTCTGTATGACCCACTTGGAAGTTTTGTTTTTGCCATTATAACTGTTTCAAATGCTATATAGATTCGAATGTACAGAATCTAATTCAAATCTATTTCTTTACTCTCAATCACATGGACTTACATCACTTACATAACTATTTAATTTTGAGAGTACAACTCTCACACCTCAAGTGTGCACAGACCTCACTCACCCTGGTGCCGCTCTCCTCCTCCACATTCTTCTGGTAACTGCTATATTTTTCAGGTCTAAAAGTACTTTTGAATGCTGGTGTTTACGTTTCTGCCAGCCTTCATTTAGCCACGGGCAATGATCCATTTTTGGAACCTTGGCCATGGGTTTCTTACGTTTGCCAAGGGAGGGTCAGTCCCTGAAGCATCAAGGTCACAACATCCTCATGAGTCGACCAACTTCCCTTCCTGATTTTGTCTCATATTTATGTTAAGTACGATCCTGTTTTTTCTTCAAGTGGTAATAGCTAACCCTGAGAGACAAGACCCCCTGTCTTAATACACTATGCTCCTTCCTTTGAATTTTCTCCAAGTGAAACTTCACTGGAAAGGGTAGAAACACCAGGGATCTTCAACATCCAGATATAAATGACCAAACATAGCTAAAGGACCTCATCTCAGAGGGTATTTGGATTTTATTTGCATTTTAATAAATCTTTAATTGGTTTCGATGAAATGGATCAAGCCTTGACTTCAGAATCTCAGAGTACACTGAGCTGAGCACAGGGAGATTTTTCAGTGGGAAGAGGTAGGAGGGACCGCTCTGAAAATCCTGCAAACAGACGTCTTCTTCAGCTACCCACTGAGCTGGCGCTGACATAAAGACACGTTCAGGCCAATACAGTTCTTGACTGTCTCTTGCCAGACCAGAGCTGACTCCTTATAGCCAAGGCCACAGCAGAGCGCCATGGGGGAGACCACAGAGCTCCCATACATCTCATAACAGCTTCATTTGTAAAGTTAAGCAAATATTTCTTCTAGCATACAGAGCTAATTCACAGTCCTCACATGTAGTCAAGCCTGCACTGCTGCTGTTCAGGGTGGTGGCTGGTGGCTGTGCCCACATCGTAGCTGGGTCTGCCAAGCACGATGCCGTGGTCAAGTCAGTGCATCTAAGCAGCTAGAGGACCCCAGGCTTCTTTGTGACCTTTCACCCCCAGATGCTGTGCGGACTCCAGACTCCAGTTCTATCCCAGAGTTTGCCTGGGACAGAATAGATGTTTTTAATACTCAACCCATTAGCAAGAAATTAGGCCCAACTCAAACTCACATCTTTGAACAACTGGACACAGGAGTGTGTATATATAACCTGTTACCCCCCAAGTGAGGCTTAAGAATTAGCCAAAGTTTAAAATGTATTTAATGAGAGGGTACCACACGGAACTACAGGCGGCTGGGGATGCTTCTGGGGTGGGATTTGCTACTTTCCACCCATAAACTCCAGCAATTGGCTAAAACTTTCAGGCTGCTATCTCCTCATCAGCAAGATGAGAGGATCAGGGAGTTTTATTTAAGTTTGCTTATAAGCTGTCTGCATGAGTTTGCTGAAACTGCCCTAACAAAGGCCATAAATTGGGTGATTTAAACAAAGGGACTTTCGCTCACACTTCTGGATGCTTACAAGTCTGAGATCAAGGCATCAGCCAGGTTAAGTTCCTGCCTAGGGCTATAAGGCTCCCTCCAGGCCTTTCTCTTTGCTTCTGGTGTTTTGCTAGCGACTTCAGTCTTCGGTGCTGGGCAACTTGTCAAGTCTTTGCCTGACTCCTGCCACTCTCTTTCCATGGTGCCTCCTTGGGTGGGGGCATGTGCTGTGTCCAGATTAGCTGTGTCCCTTTAGCAGGACACAGTCACAACTGATTAGGGCTCACCGGAATGACCTCATACTAACTTGATTAGCTGCGAAGACTCCATTTTCAAATAAATTCATGTTCATGGTGCAGGGGTTAGGACTTGAGCATCTCTTTGGATGATACAATTCAATGCATAGCTGTTTGCCCTGATTCTTTTAGGCAAGCTTCCTGAGGTCACCAGGATGGCCACGATGGCCTTCTCTCTGCCATCGGCCTGTCGTTCTTCCCCTGATTTTCTGAAGACATCAAGAGAACTGATGGAGGTAAAGGCCTGTGATCCTTTCTAGCTGTGGAACACCAGACAAATCACTTGACCTCTCTGGGCCTCCATTTCTTTATCCAAAAGATGGCAATAGCAGATTTGCTAAGAAAATCAATGAGCTAAAATGGAGAACTTGGCTGGTACATGGTAAGTGCTCAACAATTTAAAGGTACTATATTGAAATTAATCATTCCTTTTGAATCAAGGAGGTTTCTAACAGTGGTGTTCATGGGAATCATCTGGGCGAACTTTTAGGGAACCATTGGTGCCAGGTCTAGCTAAGGAGTTCCACTGAATTGGTCTGGGTGAGGTTCCAAGCACTGATTTATTTAGAAGCTCCCTGGTTTTATTTCCAGGTGCAGCCAGGATTGAGAACCACTCCAGTAGATGGAAGAACGGAAACCTCTCCCATCCCCACGGCCCCCCCAAAAGTCCCAGTGCTGCCGAGTGTCAGAGGCCGTTGACGTATCGCCGTGGCCCAGGCTGTGGGAGCTGCCTGATGGTAAAAGCAGAGCTGACTCTCAGGCAGCTCCCCAACCAGTGGCTTCGCTTTCAGTCACCTCAAGCTTTGTGGTCTCTCTGTAAACTTTGTCCAGGCCTCCCTGATGAAGGAGCTTCCCACTGAGATAGTCCCCTGAACCACTTCTCCTAGAGAAATAACCGTCCCATTGCTCACCCACAAGACCCGGTTTACCCTTCCTCAGCATGTTAAGGAAATAGCCTCAGTCAGAGTGAAACCCAGGACACGGCCCCATGCACCAGCCTTCCCGGGGATCTTTGCCAAAGAGTGCTCCTCACAGACTTGCAGGACTCCTCCAGAGCAGACTTTGTGTGAAAGTAGCCTCATGAAATGGGATAACTGGACCTGTTAAAGCCTCGAGGAAGGATCTGGAGACTCTGAAGGAGTATGACTCTGAGCACCTACGTTTATGTGTCGAAGAGCTTTCTTTATCTAGAGTAACCCCCACTTCATCCCCAGCACCAAGCCCTGTCTGTAAGAAATGTGGGCTGAAGAGGCAGCTGTTCCAGAAGTGGCCAGCCTGGCCAGGCCACAATTCAGGAGATGACTAGCTGTCCTGGTTCTCAGGCCCTTTGCCAAGTGAGGCGGGCAGCTGTGAGCAGCGTTCTCCTGCCTGTCTTTCCCCCAGCGTCTGTCACTTCATCACCAATCTGGTTTCTCTGGAGTTCATGACAGGGTGCCCCTTGTCCACTCGGCTTCAGACCCTCACCCCTCACCCCTGCTGTCCTGAATCCCTTCCAGCCTTCTGTGAGCAGGGCCAGTGACCTTTCGTTGAGTGTTTGTAAAGTGATAGGTGAATAGAAGCAATTATTAATGACAAGGCTTTACAAATTCTCGATTTATTATCACTTAGAGGTTAGGAATGTCCATTTGTTCTTTGGCTGAATTAGTAAAATTGTATTAAGTTCAACAAAGGAAATGATCGCTCTTTCCACGCTGATCTACTCAGAGCATTGTGTCCATCTTGGCATTTTCTGAGTCTTCAGTTTCAATCAAGAAAACCCCAGAAGGGAGAGAAGGCAGAGACCAGCACCTTCTTGCCTGCACAAAGCAGGCTGTTGGGATCCTTATGGTCATGCAGCGACTGATTAGGTTAAAATTGGCCTTAACGGTGGTTCTTGGAAATGCAAGGGAAAAGGAAATAAAATTTAGGGCAGGGAAATACTTTTGCTAAACCCAGAGACTCTGAATCCAGCTCAGTGTGTCGGAGTCACTGAGCTGCCTTCTGCGGCTGTGTCCAGAGGGGAAATATGTTACTGTAAGCGGGTCACAGTGGGAAGCAGGAAATGTCCAAGCAGAGGCGAGGGCTCCCGTGATTACTTTGAATGGGCTCCCGCTGCCATTTCAGGCTGAATTGATGCAGTTGAGGCCGAATTTCCTGGCAAGTCCATCGGTAGGATTTTCCAAAAGGCATCTTAGACCTCGAAGGCACAGCCTCTCCATGTCATCGCGACAGCAAACCGCTGGACACATGCTCTCTGTCTCCAGCTGGTGGTGGATGTTTTCTTCACCCTTTAACAAAAAACGTGCCAAGGTGTGACATGGATGAGCCCCCCTCCCCCGCGCTGGGAACTGCACACACAAATCCCTTTTGCCTGTGGTGTGGGAAAGTGATGAATGGGGGCTGTTCTGCTTGGGGAGGAGGGCCGCTTTCCCTCTGGCAGGCCTGCAGCCTTATTTATTACACTCCAAAGTATAAAACCGCCTGGCCGGCTGCAGCTCTCATCTCCAGCCCTGGCATCTGCCCGAGGAGACCACGGCGCCTGGAGCCCCGGCTGTCTTCTCCAGGAAGCTTGTGGCTCTGTTGAGAATCATGCCGGGAAGGCAGCTCTTCTGTTGGCACCTGCTGGCTTTGCTTTTCCTCCCATTTTGCCTGTGTCAAGATGAATACATGGAGGTGAGCGGAAGAGCTAATAAAGTGGTGGCGAGAATAGTGCAGAGCCACCAGCAGACTGGCCGAGGCAGCTCCAGGAGGGAGAAAGTGAGAGAGCGGAGCCATCCTAACAGTGGGACTGTGGATAATAACACTTCTACAGACCTAAAACCCCTGAGACCGGATGAGCTACCGCACCCCGAGGTAGATGACCTAGCCCAGATCACCCCATTCTGGGGCCAGGTACTCAGATTCTCTTCTAAGATTTACTGAGAAAGCTGAATGGGTTTTGTTGTTCTTGCTCTTTTTGCAGCGAAGGTTCTTAGCACCGATGCTTTTGAGATGTTCTCTGTGCTGTTGGGGGGCCTCTTTCTGGGTGGTGCTGGGACTGTGGGACGCTAAGGGGATGGGCGGTGAGAAAGCACTGGAAGCACTGACTTGGGGTGGACAGAGGCTGAGACATCGCCCGTCTGATGTCTGATGAGAACATGGCAGGCAGCTGTTTGCTGCTCAAGGACTTGGTTTCTTCCTGGCTCTGTGGGTGCAGAAGTGGGGGGTGGTAATCTCTGCAGAAGGACAGAGCTGCAGATAATCATTTGCAGATCTTAAAACAGTTGGACTCTCTTAATCCTTTCCAGAGGGGAAGTGAGTTTTTCACTTTGATTTGTGAGTTTGCTGTGGCATTTCATGTTAGGCTGTTTATTTGATTTATAGCATTCTAAATTTCTGAGCCATGCTCAGTCCGTTTAAAACAGAACCAAAGAGTTAAAACAAACAAAAGCCTGTTTGTCTTCAAAATGCAAACCTTGGGTTAAAGCGCAGCACTAGGAAGCTAGCTCACAGCAGCTGCTTCAGCACGAGTTCAGATCCCCCAGCCAGGGAGCTGACCCACATGGCAGACGTCTCCTGACCCACCCGCTGCTCCCCTCAGCAGTGTGCTTCGTCAGTCTGCCTGTTCTGCTCCCCACTCTGTCTCTGGTGAATCCTCTTACTACCCCTGCACCTCTGCCCTGCACCCCAGTTTCATATACATAAATAAATCTTTAAGGAAAAAAATGCAAACCTCATGGTATGATGTAATGCCTGATAATCACAGGGGACTTGATTTATTTCTGGGGTGTAAGCTCAGCCTCTAATGCAATATCTTGAATGCTCTGAGAGTGAGTATTACAGTGAGTTAAGACTTCAGGGTAGTGAACTGTAAATTGGTGAAACTAGATTTAACACATTCAGAGCAAGAAGACATGGACTTTGTAGGTATCAAGCAGGCTGAAATTAGATGAGGGAACAAAAGACCACTTCCTTGCTTTTTTAAAAGTGAGGCTTTTTGAAATTAAAGGGGCTTATCCCCTCCCACTACCCCTCCCCCCCATCAAACCCACAGAAGGAGGTTCTGTCACTGATACTAGGAGGTTTTCGGTACCACCCTTCTACCAGAGCATATGCAGACCCGTGCAGAGCTGAGCCCTGCTCAGTTCTTCCTCCTTCCCCCACTTTCCCCACCCCTCTTATTTCATTAAATAAAATTTTGTTAACTTATCCCTGTTTTAAAACACTCCATAAGTTTCAGGAGTGCAGCTGCACACCCCACGTGTATTTCCCACACCTCACCCACCACCAAAGCTCCAGTGTTACCACCACAGTGGAATCTGCCTCTTCGGCACCCCCCAACTCTCTGGAACAGCCGTGTTTTCCCCTCAGAGCCTAGGTCCTATTGGAATCATCCTTTCTCCTCATTTTCCGTGTCTTACCCGGCACCACCCTCTAGGAAGGGATAAATGGACACCCACTCCTGTCTCTGATCCCTCTGAAGGGATGGGCATGTCCGCCCAAGCTGCAGCAGGCAGCTGGAAGTGGTCAGGTCCTGGTTGCCACGGGGCTGGATCTGGAAAGGTTACATGACAATGACTCTTGTTTTCCAAGGAAGAAAGACCATTTAAAATACCTAGGGATACCTGAGAGAGCTGTAGGAGCCTGGTTACTGGGGGGTGGGGGTGGAGGGGGACCAGAGACTGATCTCAGCACAGACTTTGCCACAAAGGTTGTGTTTGATTGTTGAGAGAAATTCATTGCACAGTGGTGAGGGAATTAGGTTTGTGTTCTAGAAAGATGACTGAGGCCATAGAGTTCTTGGTGGGTCAAGGGGTCCAGCATCTGGGGTCAGCTTTGGTCAAAAATCACTTTTCCTGGATTTTTCTTTTCACAGCAACTTGTCACTCACCTTTAGCAGTTTCTCCTCTTTGTCCTGAACACC